CCAACGTTTACCATCCAACCTGACAGAACTGGAGAGGATCTGCAAGGAGGAATGGCAGAGGATCCCCAAATGCAGGTGTGGAAAACTTGTTGCATCATTCCCAAAAAGACTCATGGCTGTATTAGCTCAAAAGGGTGCTTCTACTAAATACTGAGCAAAGCGTCTGAATACTTATGACCATGTGATATTTCAGTTTTTCTTTTTTAATAAATCTGCAAAAATGTCAAATTCTGTGTTTTTCTGTCAATATGGGGTGCTGTGTGTACATTAATGAGGAAAAAAATGAACTTAAATGATTTTAGCATATGGCTGCAATATAACAAAGCGTGAAAAATTTAAGGGGGTCTGAATACTTTCCGTACCCACTGTATGTTACTACAGTGATGGGGTTGTTTCTCTGTCTGCAGTATCTTCTGCTGTCTGTTTTTCACATATAAACACTCACACCTATGCTCAAGCATTAAATTCAGAACAAGGTTGCACACACACACACATGCACGCACACACACAGTATGCATATGCAGATGAACACAATACTCTCTTTTACTCTCTCTCTCTCTCTCTCCCTCTCTCTCTCTCTCACACACACACACACACACTCATACAGTACACACAAACACTTCATAGGTATGTATAATGCCCTGCTTCCACTCCAGGCTGCATGCTCCACCCTTAGTTCTAGAGGACAGACCGGTTTACTCTAGAGGAGGGGATAGTGGGGGAGGAAGAGGGAGGTAAGAGCAGACACAGTTCAAATTCATTTCTGCTGGTGGAGCTGGAGGCACAGCACACTGCAAGAGCAGAATGTGACACGCAAAGAGCCAGGACACAGATGGAGATCAAGTGGATTAGTCTGACATACATCTGTGAATTCAGCAAGGACAGCACAGTCAGCAGGCCCACAGAGGACACGCACAGACCCCGCAGAGGAGCTTTTTTCTTTTAATCACTGACCAAAAAGGAAACAAGGTGCTTGACTCTGATGAAGGCATGCTGATATTGGTTTGAGTCCTGCCTTATTTATTCAGGAGCCTGCTGGTGTTACCCTGAGGGAAGGGCTTGGACTGACAACACTGAAGATGTGAATGTTTTGGGTAAAATTCTGACCGCTTCTTGTCCCACACCTGCACCATCATAAATCAGTAAGTACCTTTTTTTTTTGTTTAAACCTGTGGTGATTCTTTGATTTGAGGACTAAAACTGGTAGTGATTTTAATACAGGTAGACATGCAAATAATAAATATATTCTATGATCATTTTCCTCCTGACAATAATTTGCACTCCATTTGTTTAACGAAACTCAAACAAACCAGTTTCGATCATCCCTTTGCATCTACAGTATCTCATGTTCACACAAAACACTCTGTACTCAGCATTTTATTAGCTATGTTGCCTATCATTTTTATTTTATTCTATTCTATTCATTGTAATTATTACTAAATCAATAATTATATTAATCTTACTCTTCTTTGTTTATACTGTAAAGAAAACACTACAAAGACTAAACAAGGTGTCATTAAATTATTAATATTTCATAAGAGAAAAACAAATTTGTTTTTAGAAAAAGTACAATAACTGTATCATAACTTTTTTTTTTTTTTTAGGAAACTACATATGTTCACCTATTTAAAAAGTGACTGGCATTAAAGTAAACTTGTATGACATTTACTTTTATACTGTCTTTACATACATATTGTATTTGAATGTTGTCATCTGTTTCTTTTAAATGATCATATGTCACATTCAGTTGATTTTCCTAATGACAGCCTTATATGAATTAAAAATACACACTCACACACAGTAACATGTACAGTAGATCTGGCAAAGATGGATCATTAAGAGCAGACCCTAACTGCAAATGCATATGGTCCTATAAGTTTTTCCATGGAATAAAAGCGCTTAAGGAAACCATCAGGCCGTTAATGCGCTCTGCTCTTACATCTGATGTTAATGGACTGTAATGGTGACGGTTCTCCATACTTTGTCCCGTAGTGACTGAGATGAGTGAAAAACACACCCAAGAGAAAACAACATGCGTGAGAAAGCTTACCATGCACTGACAGCGAGGTGTTTTGCGATGGGATGCGTTTACGCTCACATTAAAAAGCTTCACTTTTATGTCCATATGTGTATCTTTTTCTTTGTGCGTGTGCATGTCCTGCCAATATAGACGTTTGTGGTCACACTCTGGCTGTGTGTTAAAAAACTCACTAATTTATTGGCCCCCCTTTTAAAGAAATGTGCAACGCGACTCATTATTCAAAATTTAAATAGAAATAACATCTTAACATCAGCGATCGCAGCACACTCCCGGAATGTTATTCTCAGTGAAAGCTGATGTCTCTACCTTCATAACAAATCACTCTTTGGCAGAATCTTTTTTTGTGATTAAGAGCAGGAAGTTGTCTGTATGAGGACTTTTTTCCATTAATCATACTCTTTCCTTGTTTGTATGTGTGTTCTTGGTGCAGTCTATAGTAAATTTCCTTCTTGTAGCTCCATCAGGAAAAACCATCATCATCTTCATTACTGTTATTTTTATGGTCAATTTAGTCTGTTTCTAACAGGGAATCTTTTCATCATGTGGCACAGATCTAACCATATGGTTCTGGCTGTTTTGGTAACACTACACCCAGCTTCCATTCTTAAAGGGAAATACTCTAAATTTGATATAGGTTGTTACAGGAAAAATGCCCTGTTTTGTTTAGGAGACATGCCTGTTGGCAGTGTGCTGGTTAATGATACATAACAAGAAAAACACTCAGTGGTCCTATGAACGTGCTGATAAGGGGACTCGGACCTTCTTCCACACCAGACCTACAGTGAGTTCTGTTCGGTGATTATTGGAAATAAACTCACAAAATATTTGGGAATACAAAATTCATGCAGCGCAGCAGTAGCAGACAAAATTGAAATGCAGGCAAGTAATGATTGTATCAGTGTGTGCAATGAGGTGTGGTTCCATGTGATTAACATTTAATGGATTGTTTGTGCAAAACAGGAAAAGAAAAGTGTTTACTTTTACTGCTCACAAGGGCTGTTCACAAAACTAGAGTCTGAGTAGCGCAATGAAAAAAATAAAATAAAATTGCTGATACTGATCTGTGAATCAGATTTTTAAGTACAGGTGCCTCCACAAATTGAAATACACCAATATATATCCATCACTAATTCCTTCAGTTGGTGAATTTTTCATGCATGTGAGAGTGCCAGTGGGGATCCACTTTATGGATATGCTAGGCTTAGAGAAGAAAGTGTGGTCATATCTGCTTTTTGTGCAGATAAAATACCAGACAGCCCAGTGTGTGGCACCACAGGACTCAGCTAGACCTTTGTTGTGTAAGAATATCTATGGTATGAAAATCTCTTATTATAATGAGAAAAGCAGCACTGAATACCAAAGCTTAAGTAAATAACGTGGTGTACTGTTATGCTTGAATTGTATGTTTATTTTGAGTTTACTTACATGCTCACTGGATCAAACCAGTTCAATCCTGCTTCCCATTGTCAGTCTAACTAAGTCGATTACAGTAGGATAATACATAAAATCAGTCTGCAATAATAAGTATATCAATAGGTTTCTTATGCAGATTTGATATTTAATACCATGGGGTGTTAGAACAGAAGGAGAGAAATGGAGAAGGTGAATAAATGAGAATGAAAATGCTTACAAGCACATTGTATATAGGACAGTGAGCAGGTCTGACTGGGTGAAACCTGATCAAAGGAGTGCACAAGACATGTGGGGAAGTGATGGTCTTTCAGTATGTTTGGATTATTGCATCTACTACCTCCTAGTCTATCACTCCTAGCACCATCACTCCATGTTATCAATTCATTAGCTGTAAAACTACGTAGTGCATATGGTCTACTTCATCTACTTAACCTCACCATACATCGAAAGTGAACCACAGGATGTTAGTGTGTGTGTGAACAGGGATGACATCTGATAACACAGCCAAACCTCTTTCTGAATGATCCCTATTCACTAAGTCAGCAAAATCAGATTCCAAGACTGTTTCCCCTCATATATGCTTCCTTTTCTATCATCAATCACTCTCTTACCCTTCCAGTCTTAGAGTGTCTTGACTTTCTCTAAGAAATCAATTTTAAAAATACAATATTTATTTCATTTTTTAATTATTAAAGTGGTCATAATTCCCTATGCAATTATTCATTTATCTATTATCTACGTTAGGTCCCTGGTGAGGTCTATAGGGGAAGCGGGGAAGATGGCACATTGCAACCAAGTTAAATGAGGGAGATAAAGTGGGAAATTCAATAATTAGTGATTTACTGTATTTGTGCAAATTTTCCTTATTTACAGTGACCAACAATAAAAAGCGCAGACAAACAATTTTGGGGGATGACAAGACTGGTGGTGGTGCCAGAAAAAATAGGGCCTGACTGTTCTAACTGATGGAAAAGGCCAATATGTCTTTTCTACAAAACATCATTTAATAACTGTACAAAGGATGCACCAACCACTGAATCTAGTTTGTCTAACAAATATTGTACCTTCAGTAAGTGACTACAAATGTAAAGGGTGCCACAGACTTAGAGTATATACACCCGACCTCCCATCATACAGCTAAAGCTTTTATGAGGTAAACCAAACTCTGATGTGAAGACATAGGAGAACAAAGAAAAAACTACCAGTGCTAACATCAAGCTAGGAGAATCATTTAACAGTAGTTCTCATTACAATGCACAGTAAAAGTACACCAAAAGCTAGAGTCTCATGTTCTCTGCACTCTGCCCTGCACACCGCACTTTGCACCATTAATACCAAAGAACTACAGTAGAAAAGTGACTTTGGGTATGGAAATTTGTGAAATATATTTCCATATACAAAGTCACTTCCAAGTTCACTACATGTTCTACAACTGTGGTGCTGCCTGCAAATCCAGCGATGCAACACTTCATCTGCCATCCAGCTAATCCACACTGTCAGTGTGTTAAAACACACACACCCACACAAAAATATCCTCTGTGCTTGAAGAGTGAGAGAGATTTGCTTCCCTGCCATGCAAGAGATGGCAAGACAAAACTAGAGACAGGTAACTTATCTACTCATGAGTAAAACATTTCCTAACATGATAGTGGGGGTTTCGCATGTTTCAGTCTGTTTATTTTAAATCTCTTCATATTTTACAGCACAACGTTCCATTTTGCAAAACTTGATTTTTAAATTTGACTGTATTTTGTAACTTGACTGAGTGTAAACTTCACAGTGTAGATCAAGTTTGCAGAGATATTTTTAAAACAAAATTACAGTATTGTGAGGTGTATACTACAGATTCATATGTCCCTAAATGATCATGTAACATTGTAAGAGTGTAACACTGACAGAATTGAATGCAGACTTGATTTTCACTGTATCATCCAGATACAGATAAAACATTTTCAGAGAGAGGAAAACAAGGTTGGGTGGTGGCTGTAAAAGACAGACAAAAAGCTACAAATCTACAATTGTATTGCCTGCATTTGCAAATAATCAGCAAAATTCTAACTGTGGTAAAATCTGCAAACACACCGATATGGTCCTAAATACTGCCTACAAGTGAAGTCTATGAGTCACATTATTTGTGTTTAAATCTCATCATATTTCTGACCAAACTGAAACAAAACCCTCTGAGATTATTTTGAATATTTGTCATAATGACAAAAAAAATCTTATTTTGACGATATAATATTGTAATGATTATCCCAAAGAAGTATCTCCATAAAATATTTGGCACTTCACAAAGTTTGGGATTGTTTTACTCAAAGCAAGTTTATCAAAAGGAATGACCAAAACATATGTGAAGAGTAAGAAAAGTGGACTTAGATGTTTTCAATTTATTTCAAATGCACTTTAACTGATTGTTTCTGTCCTCCCTGAGGCCTGTGTGTGAGAAACGGCTACTGTATGGAGAGGACATGAAATGGATGGTTGCACACTTGTAAAGAAATGCAAGAGGGCGATCTGCTCTATCATTAATCAGAGTGAAAGCTTTAAAGTCAAAAGAGCATCCAGTGCAGAGGGGTGGAACAATCTGTACTCTACATGAAGTCGATCAGACAGAGGAGGTTGGTGTATTTACAGTAAAAAGAGAGCAAAGCAGAATACTTTTGGGAACACATCAAACAGTACCCAGTACAATATTAACCTTGTTGATATCAAAATGTCCTCTGAGAGCAGGAAATGTTTGACATTTTGTGTCATCTGTGGGTCTCCTGTAGTTGGACCATTGGGCAATTTGAAGACAATGGATCTTCTTGGATGCACAGGTCATGTAAATGAGACATGAGCCTATTTGGAGAAAATACTTCATACCCTTCAGAAATTCAACATAATAGGCTAAGCCAGAATTTCTTAGCAAGACTTAAAGATGACCAGAACTATTCTTTTCCAAATTTGTTTAGGAGGAAATGCACATTTCCCATATATGATCAGAACACACAAGCAGTGTCTGAGGCCACACTGATATTATAACACCTACTAAGTCATTCTACTTTATCCACACAAAGGCAAAACAAATTTCGTATCAGAAAATAGTCACAAGGGCAAATATACACCATGAGGTTACAGTATATGGAGGATATAAAGCACTGCAACAGCAAAAAGAATCCTCTCAAAAATGATGCTGTAATTACATAGAAAGACCCTCAGGTCCTGCCAAAGAGAGGTCAGGAGACTCCTTATAAAAATAATAGTATTCATAATAGAACCTTGGGATAGACTGAGCTGTGAAGGATCCACCAGTTGGAGCCTTTGTTTCCCAGCAAAAGAAGGACGCATTTCTCGGCCGCATTTGATGAAGCCTTTGAAATGGGACAGCCTTGTTGCGATGCTATGACGTAATCGGTCCTCAAATGCAGCTTTCGAAGGATGCATCCCCTGAACTGGTACACAGCGACTGGGTTGTTGTAGAGTATTTGGTATGATTCACCTTCCAGTTGAAAGTAAATAAGGAGCATGGCCAAAGTTAGCTAAAGAAAGCACTGTGTGTCTCATTTTATAAAGATAAATAAACAATTTGATTCTTAATAATGCATTGTTATTATTTGGTATAGCCATTCATGGCACTGCTGTGGTCACCTGTGGCAGCAGGGATTCATTGAAACCACAGGAGACCCACTCCAGAGAAATGATTCTATTCAGATTCTTTTCCTTTCTACCTTCATGCTGGGTGTCGAGGCCCAGCTGGCCTGACTTGTCATGCATTCATCTGAACACATTCCTCTGGCAGAGGCAGCATGCTAATGCTTGACAATGCGTTCAGCTGTGCTCCCACACCCACTAGTTAGTCTGCTATTGCTGGCAAATTGGCCATTAGGTCTCAGCGGAGTAGTGAGAACATCCTTGTAATGTCTCATTAGTCACATTCAAGCTGCACAATGCTACCACTGCAGTTCTCCTAATTTAAGATGTGGACATTTTGCAAACACCAATTTAGTGTAACATTTGTGTACACAGTCACTCCTTGCACACTAGTCAACAATGCAGTGTGTTGGTGGTGTCAACCAACACAAACTCTGTGATAACTTAACAGTACCAAGGCCTTTATATTTGGCCACCTTCTTTCTCCTTATCGTATCTGCCACACTCATTCACATGGCCTTCATTACTTTTCTTTCATCTTCCTCTGTTCTCCTCCCAGACAGGAGAGTATCATGGGATGAGAATGATTATGAGAGCAGAGGTGAAGGAATCAAATAAACTGTAAGACAGAGGGGAAGCTCTCAAATCAACCTTGAGAAAGTACGAAAAGGAAAATAAATGATACTGTACTTGCGTCAAGCAGAACTGAAAGCACTGAGAGATGGACAAACAGACAGGGAAGACATAGAAAAGTCACCAAAAACACAACAACATACATAAGATCAGCCTGATTGGTGTCTTTCATCAGATTCAGTCAAATGTCAAAGAGGCTATTTATAATGAACAATGTGAATATGTAACAGATTCATCTAAGTCCCTGCGACAAATCCCTGCATCAACATGTATCTTACATAAAAAGACCAAGTGTTTTATTGGGATTCTCAGTGTTACGATAAGAAAAAAGCTCAGTACAAAATTACTCAGCTGACAAATTTGAGGACAGTTGGAAGTAATGCAATAAAAAAAGTTGGATATTACACTGATAGTGCAGTAATTCAGAACAAGTTAATTATTTATTGATAAGATCTGCACTTTGTAAAATCTGAGCATAAACAATCTTGTGGCCCTGCACCAGTTTGGCTCCTAGTGATTATTTTCTGCAGATTGTGTTGGTTTTACCACATTAACACTGCGTTTGCCTTTCAGTAATGGAAAGCATCAGTGTGGAAACAGGCTGGGATGGGTTAGGCCTCTCCTCTCTGGTCGCCACAGGAAGAAACAACTTCTCTTCCACGTCGTTGTTTGTATCTGAACTGAACTCATTCAACACATCTCAGAGTGGAGGCTCTTTCTTTGGGATCTTCCCTAAGAATGTCTCCACCACCACCACACCTCAGACGCTGCCCCAGCGTGCTGTCAGAGACCCGGGTCTGGCCCGGGCTGAGATTGCAGTGCTCGGTGTGGTGCTGGCTCTGACCACCCTGGGGAACGGTTTTGTGCTGTGGGTGCTGCTCAGGAGGAAGCACAACGCGCCGATGCACATGTTCATGCTCAACCTGTGTGTGGCTGACCTGGTGGTGGCCCTCTTTCAGGTCAGTTCATGAAGCTCTTTAAAGCATACAGTAACTGAGGTGTAAATGACAGGACCAGACAAAACATTATAAACTGTGAGTATTATACTCTGTGAGTTAGGTGAAGCTCATTCATCATCATTTTTTGGTGCTGTAAGCAGGCATGCAGTTAAAAGATTTTGAAACAGTCTCACTGAATGTTTTTGTTAAGATCAATCTTCTTGCTTTGGCCTATACATGTTACACTTTAACCTATTGGAAACCTTTTATTTATTAAATTTAAACAATATTCGTTGCGTGTTTAAACCACCTCTGCTAGTAGGACTGCAAAGTCTATTAAATGAAAACCAAGGGGTTTTTCTTTCTCCAAATGAAATTAGATGCTATGAAGTGTGGAAATCCGTTGCTTTTAATATAGCAACAGGGAAAGTTTTACATAATTCATTTATCTTTGGTAATAACATCCTTTTAATTACATCAATCCTGCCCCACATAGTTAAATTAATATCTGACCATTATGTCAGTTGCTGCACAATCAGCTTTAAGTTAATATTTTTAGACTGCTTGCATTCCATGGTAACTACTCTGTTGCAAGGCCCACTGGAAAACCCTGACATCCTCCTTTTGACAATATTCATTTGTTGGCAAAAGTTCATATTTATTCTAATTTGTTTTATACTCAGAAAATCCTCCAAATGCCTGTATGGTTTTGTTGCTTATATAAAATAATACAATATGCATATAGAGAAATGTTATATTTCTTATAGCAACATCTGCCTTTAATATTTGTTGTTCTGCTGCTAAAATAAACATCAGTGGAGAAAGTGGGCAGCCATGCTTTGTCCCTCTGCATACAGGTTAAAAGAATGGGCAATGGAACCATTTAATGAGATAGATGCTTTTGGACTTGCATAAATAATTCCAATCGAATTACAAAAACCTGGACCAAGGCCATACAGTTTAAGAATGTAATGAAGGTAAATCTGTTATATGTGATCAAATGCCTTCTCTGCCTCTGATGCACACCATGCTGCTGAGTGGCTAAATCTTCCAGCAGCGTTAATAGGACCGAATAGCTTCCTTCCAGTGTCAAAAGCAAATGCATTTTTAAAAAACCCAGTTTGGTTCATATGTGTTAAGTTTCCTATATGTTTTTATAATCTACTAATCAATATTTTGGTTCAGATTTTAATATCCACATACACTAAGTTTAACTGACAATAAATACAATCTAAGGGATATTTTCCTTTTGAATGGATTAAAGTTATTATTATTATTGTTTTGTTTATGAAATCCAACATTTTAATTGTCCTTCTCTCAATACTTTCTGGCATCTTCCATTGGTTCTATCAAACAGCTGTTTTAAAATATAGTTTCAAACGTATCTTGTATTACCATATGGCAAGTTCCTAAAACAGCTGAGCACATTAGTTTAAGATACGATACGATACGATAAGATACGACACGATAATCCTTTATTATCATTGCCACACCAAGATTATTCCTGTGGTTGGTAAGTTGCTGGACTCCCTGCCACACCTGCCTGCTGTTGTTGCTGTCCAGGTGGTCTTCAATCCTCCTCCTGTAGACCAGTTTGGCCTTTCTGATGCCTCTCTTCAGTTTAGCTCAGGCTGCACTGTAGCGAGCCCTGTCGCCTGTCCTAAAGGCAATATTCCTCTCTCTCAGTAACAGCTTGATCTCTCGGTTCATCCAATGCTTCTGGTTGGGATAGACCCTGATACATTTGTCACAGTAACAGTGTCTATGCAGTTCTTAATATAACACAGAACACTGTCTGTGAACCTTGTCCAGTGTGTTAGCTCCTCTGGTAGCACACTTTACATGCTGATCAAATTTGGGGAGTACTTTCTTTAAATCTGCATGATTGAAGTCCCCTGCTAGGATGTGCACAGTAAATTACGTAAATTTTACTCAAACAGGATTAAAAGGTGAACTTGCTTGGGACACATTCCAGTGAATCAATAAAAAATCTGGTGCTGTCGTGAGTATTCATGGAAGCAGGATGCTGTGTAATTGGGACTAAAGAGCCCATGTTTATGGTAATACAGGAACATGCCTCCCAAGTTTGGCTCATTTATGTGTTTTAATCCTTTTTAACAATAGCAGAGGCTGGAAAACTCTAGGATCAGGCTTTGGCTATATTATATGTTCTATTGGGATCAATTAATTGTTAGTTTTGGTCTTGTCCACAAATTTGATGACAATAAAAAAAAAAAAGAAAAAAAAAAGAGAACATTTCCAGACTTGTTCCTTGGAGTAAGTAGGAAAATGCTTCTTCATGCCAGGAGCCACTTTCATATAAATAACCCCTTCTTTTTTTCATCTGTCTGTCTAGATTCTTCCCCAGCTAATATGGGACATCACAGGAAAATTTCAGGGACCAGACTTACTTTGCCGGTCCATCAAGTACTTGCAGATTGTGGGCATGTTTGCTTCCTCCTACATGATTGTTGCCATGACAGTAGACCGGCATCGCGCCATCTGCTGCCCATTGCAGGCCTACCGTGGGGGAGCAGTGTCCCGCTGGAACACCCCTGTCATTGTAGCCTGGTGCCTGGCACTAGTCCTCAGCATACCACAGGTAGGGAGGTGTGGACCCATGGGCAGATTAAACCTTTCTTTCACGTGGCGAAGTAGGAAATGAGAGATTAGCAGGCATGCACACCCTGATTTCTACAGTAGAACTCAAAGCTTTGTTCTATTTTTAGCTCTGCGAGGTCACTGACTTTCAGCTAATGGAAGCAGAAACTGACAGTTATACTTATGGGAGTGTTTCCCACCTTCCTTTTGTGTGGTCTGTCAGGTGTTCATCTTCTCTCGGTCAGAAATTGCTCCTGGAGAGTTTGAGTGCTGGGGTCACTTTGCTGAGTCATGGGGGCTGAAGGCCTACGTCACCTGGATGACAGTGGCTGTCTTCCTCCTGCCGACCTTCATCATTACCATCTGTCAGGTAATACTAGTTTTACTGGCAGGACTCTCAATTTCTACACCATTGACAAAGCCCACTGATTAGGATTACATGCTGTACGCAACATGATTCAATAATGAAGGGGGCATGAATGAATGCTCCTGTTTTCTTGAAGGGTGCACTGGGCGGGCATTGTTCAGTACCCTCTGGGGCATGGTGGCTGGTGTTATGTAGCATCCCATGGCAGATAAGCATTCTACCTCCTATCAACCCTGCTGTTCTATTTAGGCAAAGATATTTCTGGGTGCAGCTATTTTTCCCTAATTAACACAGCACTTGGAAGACGACTGCTGAGACGGCTGGTCTGAAAACGTGCCCATTCTGAGAACCTCCTGCCAGGAAAATGAATATACCAGATCCCCGCCAAACAGAACCCCTGCCTGACCCTTTATCATGATCAGATTTCAGCTGATTAATACAAAGTCATTTACTGGTATTAAACTGAATGTAACTGTGTAATAGAGTGCAATACCTAACTTAAAATCAGTACACATAATATGAAAGTAGCTAAAAGTATGAATCACCCACTATTAACTGATTTCAAAATGTCCTGCAATGCCTGACACTGGTTTATGGCCAGCACAGTCTCTTTTGTTTAAAATTTCCTGCCACTGCTACAAAAGAAACAGACAAAAAAAGATTGCTTGCTGAGTACAAAGACATGCAGCTGAATCCGTCACATGCCAGTAAAAAACTTTAATACACACTCTTTGAGGTCTTTGAATGATGTAATGTCTTGTTTCACTCATATTGAACTGTTAAACTTGTTTTTCAGATAAGAATTTTCCGAGAGATTCACAATAACATCTATCTGAAATCAGAGAGGATGGTGATGACTGACTTGAAGAAGAACAAAATCCTCTTCTGCTTCCCCAGCTTTAAAAAGACGAATGACCGAGCCAGGGAAAGGGGGAGACGGGTGAACAGAGGAGGGAACAGGGACGAGAGAGGAGGACATTTCTTCAAGAATGTGAATAACACACACAACAGCCAAGTCGGAGAGTCTTACAACTGCACACCAACCACTATTCAGTATAAAAGTTGCTGTGGTGGACATGTGACAATATCTACAATGCGACAGCAAACATTAAACAGCTCTGATTGCCAGGAGAGCTACACGTCCTGCGAGCTGGCCTCGGGCTCCCCCCATTGCTCCCTTGATATTGACTGCCCTCCATCCTCAGCCAGTCCACCTCCAAGCATCACTAAAGCCATGTCCAAAACTGTGAGAATGACTCTGGTCATTGTGCTGGTCTACACTATCTGCTGGTCACCATACTTCATTGTCCAACTGTGGGCAGCCTGGGATCCCAGCCCTCCCGAACAAGGTCAGTCACAAACAGGCTTCAAGTTTGCTGCTCATCCATGTTACCAGCTTGGATTCAAAGAGTTCTGGTTCAACATTTCCAAAGCATGTGGCTCGCCTCAACAATGTATGTTATAATCACTGCAAGTAAAATGTTTCTTTCAGATGGATTGGTGCCCCTTAGTCCAGTTTTTCTATTGCTCTAAATTTGTGAGCCTTACCTGTTTCCATAAAACAAAAGCTAAATCGTTGGGCCTTATCTATAACAACCTGTGATCAATATTGTTGTCCATCTTAATGAGTTTGAATACAGCCTCAATCATGTCTCCAAGGACAAATGGCAGCTCAGATGTGGTATCGGCGAGTGTTTGTTTTGACCCACAACCAGGCACTGCTGGATGACATCTTCAGCCTCTGTACATTCTGGCACACAAACAGCATCTGTTGATGTCTTTACTGGAAGCCAGAGATGAAGCAATCAGTAGCTTTAAGTTGTGGGTGATAGTATGGACTGTGCGGGTGTTCTCTGATCTGGACCTGAAGACAAACACCAGGGCCCAGTAAATAACCTGTTTATATCCCTTGGTGATTTTGCAACATGGCCAGGTGCTGACATTTCATCAACAATAATCTGTGCCAGCAGCTCGCTCACATACCCAAAATCACAAGCAGACACACAACACAAGGCACATAAACATACACACCTACACACATCTACACTTGCATATACAAAGTGCACTCACATGCGCATACAAGTATGCATACTCAAATGAGTCTGTACTGGCTAACAAATCTGCACACAAACACAAACATCCGATTATCATCACACAAAAAACACACAGCTGATAATCATCATACTGTAAAAGCACTTGATCCGTATCTATTGTCCTTTATTATTAAGAGACTCATTCCAGACTTATTATTAACTGTTAAAAAAAAGAAAACCTATGCAGGAAGTTGTCCCTCCTGGATATTTACAGCCTTGTTGTTATTCCTGAAGGAAATACAATGATAATAATCTAGAATTACTTTTATGAAATAGTTAATAGTTGCATAATAATGTTTGTTTCATAAGAGAGGAGAAAACTATGCGATGTACAGTATGCATGTGTAAATTCATATATAAACTGTACTTGTCCCTGCATTTATGGACTTGTCTTCTCACATGTGTGTGTGTGTGTGTGTGTGTGTGTGTGTCCTTTGCAGGTGTGGCCTTCACTATTCTGATGCTGCTGGCCAGTCTGAACTCATGCACCAACCCGTGGATTTATACAGCCTTCTCTAGCAGCATGTCCAAAGAGCTGCAGAATCTGCTGCACTGTCGGCCACGACTCCACCGCCAGGGCTCCCTGCCCGATGACTCCACCACCACACACACCTTCACCACCAAGGACAGCCTGTACTGACAGAGACTGATGAGACAGAAGCAGACGCAGAGGGAAATGTCTGAAAAGCTATGCATGAGTGCTCACACACATGTAGCAAGGACGTACTGTTGCACACAAGTCTGTCACTGCTACGACCTCCAGACAGTGAGCGCTGGCCTCCACCAGATGTTTCCAGCAACAAAGAACAGCAGCCCTGTTAGCAGGGCATCTTCAGTATCTGTAATCACCTGTCTTCTCTACCCCGGCCCTGAGAAAGGGTGTCATTGAACTTGTCAAGTTTTATAAGGGCACTGTGGAATATACAGCAGCACTCAGTGAAAGCACCTGCAATGTAAAATGGGCTTGAAAGTAAAGAGATTTTCACCTCAGAAGCTGCTGAGTGGGACCCTGTGCACTGAATCATACAAGAGAAACACTTGCCATGGTTATA